CATACAAATGGTTATAGAACAGTAATGTATTGATCTTACTTCCCAATTTCCCCATGAACTCTAAGTAGTTTAGCCCCCGAACCCCATAAAGCAAGGTGAGTCTACACTGAAGAACTGTATGTATAACAAAATAAAATGGAAGCAAAGAAATCAGTACATAAAGGGAATGAAGAAATAGTACTGTGTTATTAAGTGTACCTTAGTTCCAGGTGAGATAATAACACAAGGGGCACTATGGAAAACACCGCTGAAAGACATATCTGATCTTTAGAAAGTTTCATGGAAAAACATGTTGTCATTACATGAAATTATTTTGAAAGTTCATTATCATAGGTAAGATGTATAATTAGAAAGACCTTGGTAGGCATGCAGGTTGCTACCCTGCAGTATCCATCCAAATTCATGGCCATTGAGTTGATGCTGACTTATAGTGACTCTATAGGACTGAGTAGACCCACTCAGATCTACCCAGACTCTTGACAAATAAGTCACTCATTATGGGAGTAGAGAACTCATCTTTCTCCTGTGGGTGAGGCCAGTGATTTCAAACTGCTGACCCACAGTTAGCAGCCAAACAGATAACCACTATGCCACCAGGGGTCTGAACCATATAATATTGTAATACATTATTTTAAATACCAATAAACCCAGCTTCTTCATATATATAAATATAATGGACAGGAAAAGATGAAGAGTAAGTAATATGTGCAAAGGTAAACATACTTATATATTTTAAAGGAAAATTCCAAATGTACAAAAAGTATAAAGAGGTCTACTGTGTTTGATTAAAATTTCTGAAGCTAAGTTGGAATCTATACATTTAGTTAAATATAATATTAATAAGTACATTCTCATACACATATGACACAGCAACAATTTTTCAAAGTTAAGTAAAATGTTCTACAGCATTTATAAATAGAGGTTATTAAATTGTCATGCTGTGACCTCTTTAATTTACAATAAAGAGGTAAGACAGATAGCTTTACATCTAGAAGATGATATAGTAAGAATCAAAAGTAATATTTTGCTATATATACACTAAGGACACTCTTTCAAATGGGCCTCTGAAAGCTATACCTCAATGATAATAATGATAAAATAATTATAAACTCTATTTACTGTTGTATAGCTGGCACTGAGATCCTGAATAATTAGAAGCAATACTCTCACAATACATAGTTGGCAACAAAGCATAAGCAGGACAAACTGGATAATCACTGAGAGAGTTTTCATGTTCACTTCCTCCCAATAACTTATAACCTATACTTTTGCCTTTTATTGACTGGCATCAAAATCCAATATATTTCATTTTTATCAGTTGAACAGACAGTTAATTCTGAAACTCTTTTGATCTCTCTTGGATTCAGAATCAAGATGTTACTGGAATTTCCTTTATTTGTTTGACGCAAAAGACTTACTTTTAAAACCTACAGTTTTTAAAAACTTTTGCAGGAATTAATTGATTTTTGTAACATAGACCACTTCTTTATTTTATTGTACATTTTCTGATTATGTCTGTGTGGATGGCATCTACAAATGAAGAAAACTGACAGCCAAGAGGATTATCTCAATTACACATCAAGCGTATAAAGAAAAAATACTAGATAGTGAATCTCAAAAGAAAATTTTACCTATGCACAGGATACTATATTTTGAGTCATGTTTCAGAAGATTTGGTAGTAACAAGCCGTGTACTTTACAAACGACTTTATTAGCTATGTAAAGACTCTAAAGTACATCATTCCCTGTTTTTACAAACCTCACAAATGCACATCAGAGTATATTAAGTATTGATTAATATTTACAACTGATGATTTGATAATCCTTCTGAATAGCAAGGGTTTGGGGCAATCTGGTGTATTTTGTGCATATAAGCATAATGATATTTACTGACATTAATAAAGTGCAGTGAAAGAGCATGAGTGTCTCACCCTAGTAGCTTTAATTTAGATGTCATTAATCGCAGTCATGTACTGCTTACATTTTTTTCATTTGCACTTTTCTTGATAAACTTAAAAACAAAATGTTTAGAAGTCTGAATATTAATGAGGTAGCAGGAAATTTATTATGAAGTTTCTTCTGCCTCAGTGACCAAATTCCTCAGGAAGACAATACAGATTCTAAGAAGACAGGCGTACAAAATGTATCTGCGTCCCAGCCCTGCTTTGCTCCATAACTGCTTCTTTAGCGGGGCTGTCTGTACTGGACTTGTGCTATCTAAGATTTCTGAAGGGGAAAATAGAGCTTGGAGGCATAAAGAAGACAGTGTTTGCTTGTATCATTAATCTAGGTAGGGAGAAGAAGAAATATATTACCTTTAGTTGTTCATTACCAAAATAGGACAACAAATCAAAAGTGAAAAGTACACTCGGCAGATGAAATTTGCATTTAATTTCTATTTAGAAGAGACAATGCAGTTTTATTAGTTGACTACTTGTTGATACCCTCAAGGGAAGGGCCATCTAAGGTAAATTGTTATTTCTTTCTCTTGGGGTCCAGCTATCCTCCTGATTTCTCTCATCTATCTAGAGTGCTGGAATGGGCAAGAGGGTGGGGGGAGAAAAGAAAACTTTGGGGAGTGAATGATAAATTCTAATACCTAATCAATTGAGAGCAGTGGAAAGAAACAGTTTGATCTATTATAGAATATAACTGAAAATCTGAATAAATTAAAATAAAAATTGTATGCATTATGTTCTAGACAACGATAGAAACAGTTAGAAGAATATTCCAGGTAAACAGTCTATATTCCTATTACGTTGACACCAGGAGGGGAGGATTTTTTGCCAGAGCCACAGGAACAAAATTCAGGTAGTTCATTTCTAGTTCTCATTGTCAAAACCACTGTGCAAAACTACAAAGAAATATTCAATTACTTTAAATATCTGTCTGATAGTGGTACATTTATCTTTGTATCACAATCCTATCAGGTGGGGTCCCCTCATGACACTGGGGGAATAAAATTATCCTTCAAAACCTATGAAAAGAAACTCAATGTTGCAGGTCATCATAGTAAGCCATTTACTGGGAAAGTTTATTCAGATTAACAAAGACCCTATTAGCATTTGAAATAAGCACAGCAGATGTATGAGTCTTCTACCTTGTGATTCAAAGTTTAGCTTAAAAAATATATAGTGCCACTGGTCAGAGCTTCATGTACAATAATTCATCATGTGGAAGGTTGACAAGATGGAGGATGGGAGGTTGGGAGGAAATAAAACCCCACAATGTTAACCACATCATTGTTCTAGAAAAAGAAATAACTTAGTCTAATTCTGCCACCCAGAGAGGACAGCTTTTCCAATAATGCCATGCCTGGAATGTGTGGGTATGGGGCAACTTTTTACAGTTCACACAAAGATACAATAGTAATAGCAGCTATCTAGCAAAACTTTATAATAAAATGAATTTACTGATCATCATCTAACTAATGAAATAAAACCAAGAGGGGAAATGCAAATATATGATGTATGATGGGAGAACATGAAATCTAATTTCAGTTAAGGTCCCATTCCTACATAGATCTAAAAAAAGTGTGTAAATATTAATACATGAACTACCAGAGAAATTTCTTGCCAAACTCTATCATTTTTAATCAAATTCAAATTCTTGAGGCACTGTGGATCTAAATTGTTCAGGACCAGGTGTGGCCATCAGTGTTGGAGATTTTCATGGGAAACACTGTTCCAGCCACAGCTCCTTACACCCCCAGGAAATTAGAGCTCCGAGAGACTCGCTGTGGGTGCCGTGATTCCAGTGGGCCTGTGATCCACGTGGAAGGCAGTTCAAAAGCACCAGCAGCTCTGTGAGAAAGACTGGGTTATCATCTCAGAAACGCACAGTGGGGTCGCTGAGTCAGCATTGACTCAATGGTAGTTAAGTGTTTGTTTGTTTGTGTTGCAGAGGTTAGGGGCTTGGGGTTTATGGTTTAGAATTCCAACAGACCTAGGGGGAACTCTGAGATTAGCTAAACTTTCAAGATATATGTAAAATACAAAATACTTAAATTAGTTAATGAATAAATTCTCTTGGATACCTCTCAGTGTTAGAAAACTTGAGTTTAGAAGAGAGTTAAACTTTCTAATCAACTATCCCCATTGAACTTCCTTAAAACTCCTTTCACTTTTATAAAGAGTGGCACTGGTAAAGTGAACTTGAAAGTGTTATTGGTCTTTAGGAATTCTAAGCTGACTTAAAGATGTAGCATTATGTCATCATTCAAAATTTGTAGGGATCAATTTGAATAATATCTGTATAAATATATTTACCTAATATAGGAATGGGAAGGCTTGAAAGAGATGAGATGACAAAACAACAAAAATCCCAAGGAAAAGCTATAAGAATTATTAAAATTAAAAATTATTAATAGATATATGAGCTTTCAAATGATTTCAAGGAATTGCATCCCAATTATTTAAAATCAGGACACCACATTGGGAAATCCAGAAAAGTAATCGGATGCATACTGGTGCAACCATGTAGCCTAAGAAAAGAATATTAGGTATGGCTTTGGAAAAAAAATTGAGAAGTCGTTCTGCACTGCATGATGGCATGTTTTATTCTTAATGTATCCTAAATGTGATAATGATGGGTTTAGGAGAAAGATGAAAAGACATATATAATTTTTAAAATACTCTTTGGGTTAATTGGGCTATGAGATGAGTAGGAAAGAAAACCTAAAGTAGAAATAGAAATTGTTTTTGATAATTATTTGTTTTTCAAGGGTCAGAAGTAATCCAAAGATAAAAGTAAAAGATTTACTAGAGCTAATTTATAAAGAAAGCAACATGAACTTTGATTATAAAATAAAAGCATTGCTAGATTTAAGAAAAGTAAAAATGAATGGGAAGTTAGAATATATGAAAATGTAAAGATGTGTTGTTTAAGCTTTTGATTTAAAAATATAAACTAAAAATTTTTGAATAAACAGAGGTGAATAGTTATGTTGCTGAGGTGGCTGCAGTGCTTATCGGGAAAGGTGAATCTTGGATGTCACCTACCTAAGTATGACACACACGCCTGAATGCAGGGAAGATATGCCCCTGGGGAATAAGACAACATTAAAGAAGAAGGTTAAAGACTATCTTCAGAGATATACTATGAAGAAACAAAACTTTAAAGTATTCCACTCACCTATGATAAAAAACATAATGAGATGAGGATAAAATAAGAAATGTGGGTTTGGGAGCTCAGAAATTAATATGGAAAATCAAGAAGATCACTGTGATTACTATTACTAGTGTGAAGTAAAAGGGTGGATATATAACTTGATGGAAATGATCACTGCCTGGCCATACTTCCAACCGTAAGTCAACACTGCCCACTCCCCAAAGGCAAAGTTAGAATTACATAAGATGTCACAAGCAAACTTAAACTCTTCCTTCAATTGGTTTTAAGAAGTCTTTTAAAACTATATGTTTTAATACTAAAATTTAATATTTAACCAGTCACTATAAAATATTACTATTTCCATTAAATATATTTCAAATTGACCCAGTCATCCTCAGACCATTATAGTCCATCCAAGTTGATTAAATACTTGAGAATCAATACAACAGGGTAAAGTGATGTTCTATAATACAATTGACTTTAAATACAGTCATAAAAATAATCATTCAAAGCCATTTTGATTAAACTCACACCTAACTACTTTCATGTAAATTTATATAATAAGAGTAACCAGTAAAAATATACATGTTATGCATGCTCAAACTAGTCAAACAGCTTCTCATTTAAAATATATTAGTTCTCTCTTTTAGGTTACCACGATCATAAGTTCAAGATATTTACAATGGGCATTATTAAGGAAAGTTTTCTTTCTAAATTTCATACTTTAAATTTACTATGCATGGGATTATTTAAAGAATAAATAAAATTAGTCATTTTATTAATCCTATAAAAATTCATAGGAATTAGAAGCATTTGTGAGTATTCTTTCTCTGCTATTTGGACAGTGATGCTAGAAAGTTAGAAGACTCATATTTAAATAAAAGTTCAAAAAATAAATAGTAAAATTAAAGATACCAAATGAACATATTCTAGATTATAAAACAAAAACTGATCATGAATATTATATAAGGCAATGCTTTATTTACATCAATAATTTTGTATTTTCTTAATATTTGGAAAAATCTTTCTACTCACTACTTTTATTTAAATGAAAGTGATATAAATAAAAATCATTACTAGGTCATAGCTGCTACATCTTTTCCCCAAAGAACATGAGACATATAAGATCATATTACAACATGTATCCCTGTATCAAATTCAAGCTCAATACTATTGGTTCTAAATTATATATACATAAAACTTACTCCAATAAATTTACGTAGCTAAAATTAATCAAGTGAATCTTTATTTGAATCTTTCTTACAACAAAGCCATAATTGTTATATTATTTTCTTCTAAATAACATCTGGTGTTACAAAAAGACTTCTAGATACAGGTTATAAATTAATTAATATACTCTAGTTTGAGGCTGACGGAGATAACAATGCTGATCATAAAACTAATTACTGAAAATATGCATAAAATGTCTTAGAAATTATTGAAATAAATTCCTACAAACACCATTATTCAACATAAATTCATGTGCTAAATATTTCCCAACAATGAATGCACTGTCTTCTTGCTCTTCCCAAGCATTGCTCCTAGTCATTTTTACTGCATTCTAATTAATTCTAATCATATGCACACACAGAGAAAAGAAGAAGAAAGGAAAAAATCAACCATAAACACATAGGAGATTAAGGGAACTTACTTTACAAGTCTAAAAGATGTTTTAGGAGCATTTTGACCAGAAGTAAAAAAATAAAACTCATGATATTCATAAAATATCTTTTCTTGGATCTTTCAACATCCAATACTAGCTGGATATGTATTTTAGATATTAACACGAGATGTGCTTTAAATATTAAGGTTAGATGTGCTTTTCCCCAAGTACTCAGTTTATCTTTAGTATGTATTATTCAGTACATTTTTACTTCCACAAAGACTGTGTAATTGCTCTATACCTGAGACAATGTGGAACTCTATGATGCTTAGTGAACTATATAGCCACATCATTGCTCATTTTCACTGCCTCCAATGGGGCCTGACAGCTCGCCCGTTTATAGCAGTAGCAGATGACTGGAAAAGAAGTTCCTAGTTCTCTATCTCCCTTTTAGAAGAGTTTCTGAAAATTTAGGACTTAGAAAAAAAATTTAAAAGCTTATGAATAATGGAACACTGCTATACACGTGACCAGGCTTTATACCCTTGCAATATCAGATGGCCCAGAAGTTGAAAATAAAAGCGCGTATTTAAGAACTTTTTAAAGCAATCACCAAAGACTACATATGAAAACTAATGTCTAGTTACCTCTGTTGAGCGATGCTGAGCTGTTTATGTCTCCAGTAATAAAAGAGGACTCCGACTGCTTGCGGACCGTGTCGTTCCACATTCTACGGATCCGGCTCTGTGTGGAGAAGAAGGAAAGAAAGGAATTCATCCAGAGGCGAACTTTTACAAAAATGACTCTTTTTCTTCCTACCATAGTTTTAAAAGAAGATGTATTCAAGAGCATCGGACAAATAAGCAGCTTCTACATGGTTACAGGATAGTGCCATAAGAACATCAAAACGACATCATGATAATAATTGGTGTTCATTAAGAATGAGACAAAATTGACTCGATGGCAGTGACTTTCTTGTTTAGTTTATACTGAGATAAATATAACTATAAAAATCAATAAATAGTAAGTTGTATTTCAAAATAAGTTGTATATCAAATGAAATATTTTGAATAAATAAAATTGAAATTAAAATTTAATCATCTTAATTTACAAAAATTTTCCTTATTAAAATGGGGGGCTCTTACATCTCTTAACACAATCCATACCTTCATCCAGTGTGTCAAGCACATTTGCACATATGCAAAGAAAATTACTTTTATTGTAATTTTATAGGAGTTGTTATTTAAATTTGTATTAAACTGTTAGTTTAATTAACAAAAGATTAACACTAGAATTCATAATTATGCAAAATTAGATAGCTTGGGAAGAAAAGAACAAAGAATGCTATTTAATAGAATACTACTAAAATACAGTTTTTCATAAATTTCTTAAGACTACCAATGTAACAGAATTTCTATCCTCCTATTTCTTAATTTCTTTTGAAGGAGATAAGTCAATACATTTCTATGTTTTGTTGCATGTTAGGTAGCTTTATAAGGAACTGAGAAATCATTTTTATTTTATCACTCGTAATGTCATTTAAGATCACAAGAGCAGCATCTAGCCAATGAGCAAGCACAGAAGGCTAGAAAAGAAGGAGGCTGGGCGCAGGAACACAGGAGGGCATGGAGCTTATTGTAACAGATGAGGTGAAACAATGAAAATAAGAAATGCCGTGTAAGCTTAATAAGTAGTATACTAATTTCCATCATCTGTGAAATATTTTGTTTAACTATATATTTGGTCAGGGGTCTAAAAATATTGACAATCAGTGAGGAAGAACCAAAGTATTTTCAAAAGCTTTTCAAAGGAGCCAATAGTTACTAGAACACTACCACTGATGGTGGTACCTCACTCACAAATGGATTGTTTTGCAAATGTGTGAATTTCTTAAATATTTGGGTACATAATTTTAAATATTAGATGAATGACTTTATGGGTTTGGAACGTGTTTGCCCTTTAGAAATACTGTTATATATCATATTTGCCTTAGGTACACAACACACACGCAAATATATGTACATGAAACACCCTAAAGTTCATCACATAATAAAACAGGCTCAGGATTACAGAAATAAAACATTAGAGAAATTGTTTTAACTAAAAAATATTTCAAAATTACAAACTAGCATACTAGAAATGATTCTCTTATATGCTAATCCAGTTAATTGACTGATTAATTCAAAACTATTGATTACCCTCTACTGCCTGCCAATAAGAGATACAAATGGAAAAGAGAAACAAAATATCTTTGCTTCCTGTAGCTGCTAGACTGGTAATGGAAGAGTGTGACAGTTAAATGATTCTATGTCAAGGAGACACTTCTGGCCAGAGGTGGAGTCAAACCTGGCCTTCTCTTAACAAGAACCCTGGGAACCTTCTTCTCATTTTATCAACCTTCCTGCCTGCTGGGACTCTGGTGAACACCCTGAGATTTGCCAGTGCCCTGCATAGTTCCACCAAATTTGGATCCACAGGAACCTACACACACTAGCCTGTGATCTTCCTGCATTCTGCATCATTGCATGTGGCTGCATGAGTCTGAAGAGGGATTTATGGGTTTGAGTTGCACTGGGCTTGTATACTTTCTTGATATGAGGGGTGGGGGTTGGGGGACTTGAGGGGGATGGGTACTAAAATTAAAAGGCCCCCCAAAGCTTTGTATTTAAATTAAAAAACTTTTTAATTTATTTATTTTTAATCATTTTATAAGGGGCTCATACAACTCTTATCACAATTTATACATACATCAATTGTGTAAAGCACATTTGTACATTCATTGCCCTCATCATTCTCAAAACATTTGCTCTCCAATTAAGCCCCTGGCATTGGGTCTTCTTTTTTTCCCCTCCCTCCTCACTCCCTCTCCCTCATGAGCACTTGATAATTTATAAATTATTATTTTGTCATATCTTGCCCTGTCTAACGTCTCCCTTCACCCATTTTTTTGTTGTCTGTTCCCCAGGGAAGAGGTCACTTGTAGATCCTTGTAATCAGTTCCCCCTTTCCAACCCAACCTTATCACCTTCAAAATACTCTCCATTACACTTAATACATTTGTCAAATCTGTGAGTCCACTCTTGGAAACATTTTTCAAACTCATCTGTTTGGATGGCTGACAGCAGCTTCCTAGTTATATTATTCACAAATTCTAAGTCCTCTGGATGAGCCCTATAGAACCAGTGGTGTGAGTGGCAAAACAGGGAGGGTAAAGGGAGAATGGGTAGGAAAGAGGGAACCGATTACATGGAACTGTGTGTGACCTCCTCCCTGGGGGACAGACAACCGAAAAGTGGATGAAGGGAGACGTCGGACAGGGCAAGCTATGACAAAATACCCATTTATAAACTATCAAGGGCTCATGCGGGAGGGGGGAGTGGTGGGGGAGGGGAAAAATGAGGACCTAATGTCGGGGGTTTAAATGGAGAGAAAATGTTTTGAGAAATGATGTACAAATGCGCTTTACACAATTGATGTGTGTATGGATTGTGATAACAGTTGTATGAGCCCCTAATAAAATGTTAAAAAAGAGAAAAAAAAATTCTAAGTCCTCAAAGTGCTGTCCTTTCATGTCCCTCTTCATTCTCAGAAACAAAAAGCAATTGCATGGAGTGAGGTCAGGTGAATAAAGTGCATAGGGCAAGAGAGATGCTGTTTTCTGCAAAAACTGGTGCACTGAGATAGCTGCATGAGCAGGTGCATTGTCGTGGTGGCAAAACCAGTCAGTCCCCATCTGCCACAATCAGGTCTTTTTTGTCACACACTGTTTTATTATCTTTTCAGAACCCCTACATAAAATGCTTAATTAACAGTCTGACCTGGTGGAATGAATTCCAAATGTATTATGAGTCCTCATTTTCATCTGTTGAGTAAGTTGATGGACACTCTGAATGGGGTTTGTCATCAATTGACATTTCAGCATTTTTAAAAAGGGGAAACCACCCATTCCCTTGAGTTTTCACCATAGTACTGTCCTTGTGAGCTGTGTTCAACAATCACAACAGTCTGCATCATTTTTCCTGAGCAGGAAACAAAATTTCACAGCTGCAGGATGTTCTCTTATGTCAGTCATCACAAAAAAATGAGGTTTGAGTGGAACTGCTTTTATGAAAATATTCACTATCACCAGAGAGAAACTTCCCAGGTGATGCCACTGGATGCACTAACTCAGAGTGAGTTGCTCAATGCTTGCCTAGTGGGAAAAATATACTACTAAATCTTCACTCTGTCCAGTGCAATTCTGTTTTTTTTTGGGGGGGGTATCCACTCATGTAATTACTTCTTTATATAAAGTTCTTTCTTATACATTTATGAGTGTCGCTTGATTTGTTTCTCTAGTCAACCTTGCCTAACACAGAGAGAGTTATCTAAATGTGACCACCTTCCACACATAAACACTGAAGACAAATGTGTGCATAAGTAAATGTGGTGAAGAAGGCTGATGGTGCCCGGCTATCGAGACCTATAGTGTCTGGGGACTTAAAGG